ATAATAAATAATAAATATAAAATACAGTATATCATATATTATAGTATGTTATAAATATTATATATTTATATTTAAATTATTATCAATGTAAATATAAATATAAGATATTTACCATATATCCCAGGATTTATCAAACACATAAACTATGAACTTCTTAACTTCCCATAGAGGTTATCAAACACAGACCATGAACTTCTTAAGTAACTTCTAATTAGAGTTCTTCGGGAACTTTTAACTTACCGTTCATGAATTTGATTCTAGTTATCAAACAAGCCCCTAATTTATAGTTCTTCAGAAACTTCCAACTTACCGTTTATGAACTTGTGTCCAATTATCAAACAAACCCTTATATAAGGTGTGGACGTTGTAATTTAGAAGTAAAGTGCATCTCAAAAATTCACCAGAAAATGTCATTTTGTCACATAAAAACCCTCCAATATCATTTCAACCTTGTGATGTATGGGTGTTAAAAAAGTGATTTCAAATCGCAGAATAGTGCATTTTGTAATGTATCGTCTAAACCATCAATTTTCAAGATTCTCATGGGTTTTTTTATCAGTTAGATTTACACTAATTTTTAAACATGGAATTTTATAATTAGGGATGAAAAGAGATTTTCCGACCATCACAAGGATTGCCAACACTGAAACAACATACTTCAACATCATTTGGAGGATGCCTTATTTTGATTGTTTAAAGGTATCAACCTTATAACATTGAAAAAGCTGCGTGCATAAGCGGAGGCAGTTCTACACATGCGTCCACTTATACAACTCACATCCATCATAAAGACGGATGTTAAAAGGTAGTGATCCCACCAAAATCCAAAAATCAAAAGTCTAAATAATTACATCAATTAATATTATTATTTATTCAAAAATTAAATTTTTATATTGATGTTTACCTTGGTATAGATTGTCAACTCTTAAAATTTTTGATCCACAATCCATCTTAAATAGACGAGTAAGCCCGAATAATAAAAAGACCATGTCCTATATGGGTGAGGTTTCTACAAGGTGTCAACCTTAAACAATCACAGTAAGGTGCACCTCAAAATATCATTAAAATATGTATTTTCAGTGCCCAAACTCTCATCATGCCCTAAAAGTCGATTTTTCACCCCTACAATGAAATCGAAAGTTTCGAAAATGGTCCAAATCTAACATATCTATGAGCACTCGAAAATCTTTAAATAGACGGTCTAGATAATGTGTTACAAGATGCACTATTTTTAAGACTTGAAATTCATTTTTTCTTCCATATCCATATATATCGAGATCAAGATGATCATTTGGAGAATTTTATAGTGACGAAACAACCTTTTTATGGTTTTTTGAGGTGCGCCTTATTTCTACCGTATAGGTTGACACCTTATATAAACTTTTTCCGTGTATTATATTGTAATATTTTAATAAAAATGTAATAAAAACTCGTTTATCAATCTCTATCCTACCTAACACATATGATCAGGTCCAGGTCCAATGACTTGGATCCGGCATAGGCCCAGGTGCCTCCTCGTGTTAAAAAAGTATCAAATTGCCCTTTTTCTGAATCCCTAAGAATCCAGTGGCATTTTGATAATTTAACCCACTCAAGTAGTTCAAGCTTAGTTACAAAGATACCACTAATTGTTGAGAGTTGGGAAAATGGAACTGTCAAATGACAAAATACTCTTAGGGTTGGCAATACAAATTTATGAGCAATTTTGGGGTTCCCAACCCTGCACAATAGTGCTTTTGGAACTTTTGAACAAACTTTTTTTGACAGAGTATCTTATTCTTAAAAAGTAAACTCTTAAATGCTGGTAAATGGGATCTTTTGAGCTCTTTAATAATTTTGTATCCAATAATTATGACTCCTTAAATGATAGTTTTCCTTTTAAATAAACGCATGATGATAAAAGGTTTACCTTTTTCAAAAGACAAGCAAGAAAATTGAGGTCCACAATTTTCATGCCATGGGAAGTTATTGAAAATTAGAAGTCTGAGCAACCAATCAAGTTTTAAGGGTTAAGAATTGTAAAGGTTTACGTTTTAATTGCTATAGAGTTTGTAAAATAGAGCTGCACCTCCAAATTTTATCATAAATTTAATTTTGGTGTAAAAATTTATTAGGATGGCTTGAAAATATATTTTCATCTATAATTGCAAAATCTTAAACTCTAAAAATAGTTCAAATCAGGTAGATCTATATGTTGGGTTTATGTAGCCTTTAAAGGCCTTATGAGAGCTTGTATGAGCATTTTATACAGTGAAATATAAACTCAGTGGGGGTGTGGTCCTTTTGTGGATCATACTAGGCAAATGTTATTTGTTGATACTCGAACTAGGCGCGACGAGCTAGGCCAGCCAAGATTTGAAAAAACGCAAGATGCCTGGGCATATGGATCTATCGAGAAGAGTTTAGTGGGTTATCCCTTGATGAGGTCGGAGTATACCTAGATGAGAGCCAATGGACGGTGTGGCCCTTGCGTGTGACGAATAGCCTTTAGAGACAGGGCTAAAACATCATCGTTATATCATCACACAACGTGTACATAGATAGCCATTTTGAGATTCACCAATGAAGGTGAATCGTGTACATGTGCGAGAGATTACCCCTATGCACCACAGAGTCATGGTTACATCATGGTTTGGAAGACCATGATTTGTTGTTTCGAAGAACCTGAAATCCATAAACTGAGATTACGTTTTCTAGTCTATTGGCTAGTTTTGGTAGTCCAATCATGAACCCCTGCAGTGGACTATGAGTCATGGGAACGGCTGAGTCAGTTTGTGAAAGCTAGGTGGATCGTGATTCATAGTTGAAGGTGGAGTGCTCCCATGTATTGATAATTTTGTAGATCTAATGGATCTGATTCCCATCAAAATTAATTAATTTTATATTATGCAATTTTTAAAATGTTTATTTGAATTTTTGTTAATCTTTTGATATTTTATTTTTATCATTTGAATCTATAAATTAAGATAAATTAATTTTTAAATGTTTTAAATAAAATATAAGATTTAATAATTTTAAATATCAAATAAAATATTTTCTGAAAGTATTTGGGACGTCCATAAAATATAGGGCCCAAAATTTAAAAAGATGTGGATTAGGTGGGTCCACATGTGGCCACCAAAAGGTGGCAAGCCCCCACCCATTTACGTAAGATTATTGAGAATAATGTTTATCCACTTGCTTAGCTTATCTTATTAAGTATAGCCAAACTTATGTGATAAGGTTTAATATTTTAGATAGTTATTAATTCTTTGAATCAATATTGATTAATCAAATAAAAAAGGATTTGATATTATTAAAATATGAGCTTTCTTTATTTGATGGGAATAGATTTAAGAAATAGAGGATAATACTCTAGCTCATCCTTTTGAATCTTGATTGTGGATCAAATAGATTGATGGTTCAAATATCTTATCCCACAAGTCTCTTTAAATCGATGGTTGAGATTTCTCACCCCACAAGTCTCCTTAGATCGATGGTTGAGATTTGACCCTACGAATTGAGGCAAAATCTATGGCATAGAAAATCTTTAGATCAATGGTTGAGATTTCTCATCCCACAAGTCTCTTTAGATCGATGGTTGAGATTTGACCCTACGAATTGAGGTAAAATCTATAGCATAATTTTTTTATACAATGAGGTGTTTATTCTCTTATCTCTCTTTAACAATTCTCTCTCCCTGTCCAAAATTCCCTTCGGAAGAATGAGATATGTATTCTCTTCTCTCTCTTTAACAATTCTCTCTCCCTACCCAAAATTCCCCTCTCTTCCCAATGGGAAGCATGCTCCAAATTTATCTCTCTCTAAATTGCATTATGTTTTATGTTTTGCATTATGTTTTATGTTTTGGTGACACGCACCATCTCTATTCTTTATGTTCAAGATACACTATTTTTAAAACTTGAAATCTTTTTGTATTTTCATATTTATGTATCTCAATGTCGAGATGATCAATTAAAAAAAAATTCAATATCAAAACAACCTTTTATGATGGATTTTTGAGGTGCACTTTAGTTCTACATTTTATGGTTGTAACCTTCTATAAACATTTTCTTTCAATTTAAGCTCTTCTTGCTTCTATATGATTTCACACAAATCGATGAAAATGTGTTGACAATCAAATAAGAAAGATATATCAGAAAAAGGAGTCGTGATCGTGACTGATGGATTAAAAAAAGAAGAAGAAGAAGATGATCGGAGGATATTAAGAAAAGGGTGGTTTGTATAAGGCGCCATCTTTATATGATAGAAGTAAGGCACAACTATTTAAATTTACTTAAACAATCAAAGTGTGACACACGTCCAAACTTTGTGAGAAGATCTAGTTTTAATACAAGAAATCCCTATGATGACTTGATAATCTATTTGCACATCTGGTTATGAAACTTAAAGCCTTAAAAATAGCTCAAATGGAGCATATTTGAGTACTTGAACGTTTTGAGAATGGACATTATATTTAATGTACCACTAGATGCACCTTTTAAGGACGTGATATCTTCCTTTTTGTTATATCTATATTATCGTGGTTGATACGATCAATTTGGAGATTTTAATATCAAAATAATATTTTTTCAAGGGAAATTTTTATATCCCTATTTTATAGTATAAGGTTTACATTTTATATCAATAATAATTATAAGGATCGAATCGGTGAACCGGTGAGGAGTCCAGTCTAATTAAATTGGTAAAAGCTCATCAAATTCGCCTTTATTTTGATCGAAGATCTTATATTGTGTTATGCGATTCGCCTTTGTTTTGGCTGAAGTGGTTGAAGCCTTCAGATTTTAAGATAAGACTGAAGCAAAGCGAAGTTTGGTGATAATGTTTCGGTCTATTGAACAGCTTCATTAAGATTCGAGTCAAGGCACCGTCAGTTGTTCCAAAAACAAGCGGCAGCATTTAATATACTCATGTAAGACCCGTGTCCCATACATTTATCCCCTAAACTTTTGATTATTATGGGATTAGTGGATAAACTATGATTGCACCCTAACATTATTCCTGAGTTTATAATTCATCTGGCTTTCTTAAATGCAATCCATCGCTTCTATATCCTTTCATTAATGTCAGAAGTTTTCACGCTCTCGCTCTCGCTGGAGCATATTGTTTATTTACTGCACTAGGAAATTTAAGTATAGGAGTCTTTTGGGACTCTAGATCTTGGTGATTTACCCACTTCAACCTAGTAAACATAAAAAAAAGGAAAATTCATAGTAGCCAAAAAAAAGAATGAATTTCAAAAGCCAAACCTAAAAATGCAACATCTTAAAATTGAATTTGCACCTTTTAATCCTTAGATCCAAGTATTAAAAAACTTAGAATCTATGTTCTTTATATACAATTTTTTCCTTTAACTATGGAAAAAGTTTATGTAATATTGTAATCTTAAAATGTAGAATTAAGGTACACATAAAAAATCCATCATAAAAGGTTGTTTTGATGTCAAAGAATCATGTAATTAATCATCTCCACATCGAGATGTATGAATATGAAAAGAAAAAAAAAATTAAAGTCTTACAAATAATGTATCTTGCAGCACATTGTCTCGAAGATCAATTTTCAAAAGTTTATAGATCTACATAATTTGAACTATTTTTTAGTTTAAAATTTTATAATTAGAGATGAAAATAGATTTTCTAACCATCATAAGAAATTTTTACAACAAAATTATATTTATAACAAAATGTAGAGGTACTTCTTAATTTTATTTTTTTAAGGTCACAACGTTATACAAACCACATCTTTTAAATAGTAGACCCCAAAGCTCCTAAATGAGTTCCTTTTCTTGAAGGAGTAAGTGCGCAGTAAACTCCCTCGAGAGCATAGTAATGGAGTTTGAAGGAATAGTTGCCTCTTTTGGAATAATCTAACGGTTATTATCGAACCTTTGGTCGTATGGTCAACGCACGTTGCATAGAAAACTAAGAAGTGAACAGGAAAGGCCAGCTCAATTGCTGAAATTTAGTAATTTTTTAATTGAGAGAGATAATACATATACTGGTTTTTAGATAGACATGAAACAGATATGCTCAATACTAACACATGCCATCGAAACCGGCCGGTTTGTTGAGCACCTTCATTTACCGAAGATTAGTTATCGTTACTCCTTATATCTCTCTCATCCTGTGTATATTCTCTTTCCATCTGTGACCCATCTATTCATTGATGCTTCATTGCTTTCACTCTCGCAGAAGTCCACATTCCTGATATTGGGTCTCAAATCATTTTCTCTCTCTCTGATATTGGGTCTTGGTCTCTCTGTCTACTGTGATTTTTAGTTTATTTGCTTATGACCATGGCAAAAGCCTTGCTGTTTTTCTGCCTTTTCCTTTTTTCTGTGAGCTCTTTTACTCTGTCAAATGGGGCTAGAGCTGCAATACAGAGCCCTAGAAAATATGCAAAAATATATGAGTTGAAGAAAGGGGACATGCAAGTGAGGGTTACTAACTGGGGTGCTATCATACTCTCTGTTGTGATCCCTGATTCAAAAGGTCACAGTTTTCTCTTATTTGTGTCTTGGGTTTTTTCCCTGTGATTTATTATTACTGAAAAGTTTGTAATATGTGTTTTCTGTGATTGGATTTACAGGAAAGTTGGATGATGTTGTGCTTGGATTTGAAAAACTTGGTTCTTACATCGTAAGTTTATTCTTTTGTTGACTTATTTAGCTTATCATATCAATCCACAATTTACAATAAATAATAATACTAAATATGATAAATTGTGGTGAACTGGTGCTCTCTAAAATGTTTAAAATCTATATTGATTTCTTTTATGTTTTGTGGATAATGATTTCTTTTGTTATGTTGCCTAATGACTAAAAAAACTGTTCCTTGAAAGCTGATATTTTTCTTTTGGTGTTCTTTTCACAAATCATAAATGTTGTAAATATTTTAATTACTGATAAATTACCCAAAAATTATTAAGTGATCATTATGGCAGTGTAGCATGGTTGGACAAAGTCCTTGTAATTGTATGCATGTTAGACAATCTATTCAAATTTATGAGTAGTTGTTAGAAACACACTGCTAATTTTAATTCTAAAGTTTTAAACTGCATCCTGATTCCAATTACAGCATTTGCTGGTACTTTTTTTAATCACTTAAAAGAGTTGATAATTGTTTATGATTTTTTTTTTTGGGGATTTTCTCCTATGTTACAAATTTTGTGAGAAATACCCAAATATTTCTTATGTGATTATGGTCGTACTGTAGCATGGTTGGGCCTCCAAGCCCTTTTATACTGAAAATTTATAGTTTTTGTTTAGAACGAAAATGATATACGAATATTCATGATACAGAATGACACTACGTACTTTGGAGCCATAGTTGGGAGGGTTGCGAATAGGATCAAGGATGGTCGATTTGTATTGAACGGGCAAGCGTATAGGCTGTTCAGAAATGATGGCAATAATACCCTTCATGGTATACATTTATTTTTCTTCTTTTTTTCCTTTTTTTTTTGTTGAATATTTCCGCATGCTTATTTATGTAATTTAGAGTTTCAATCTCTCTGTCTCACTCAAACTATATCTTATGTTCTTTCTTGGTATGATGTTGCTATAGGAGGGCACAGAGGCTTTTCCAAGGTTTTCTGGACAATGAAGGAAAAGCAGGATGGAGAGTTCCCCTATATTACTCTTACTTATCACAGTTTTGATGGGGAGCAAGGTAAGAGCACTCTTCGCTTTTCTATCTCTCATTCCTGTATGTTGCTTTGTATTATCTCAATTTCATTTATGATGGGCTAAATAAAATAAAAGTAACGACAGTTGAAAAAGCTACACTATACTTCAATTTATCAGCATATGATGAATTTTACACATAGGAAAAGCATACGTTGTGATCAAATGGGAACGGGTACCAAGATACGACTCACAAAGAATGGAAATTTATTGATCGATCTTCTTTTGATATGGGAAAATAAATCTAAACTGATATGGACTAGGAATTGAAACTGACATGTACTGACCAAGTGAAAGTATAATGAAAAAAGTACAGAGGAAATGAAACTCTTTTAGTTTAGAAGCTCTAAATTTTTTCAGGGTTTGTTTATTTTAATTTGGTCCAGAAAAATAAATGCTTTTAAGTAAATGCACTATACATTCTTATGAAGGTTCTTTTTGTGTCAGTTTGTTATGTTCCTCATTTTCCTTTTATTTGTCCATTGTACTGTGATCCACTGACAAATACATAATTACAATTCACTTCCACTCATCTCACCTCCCCCAAACACACACACACACACACACACACAAATTACAAAGTCTTCCTTTTAATATTAACCTATACCAGATTTTTTTGCTATTCTTTTGGGCAACTTAATAAAGTCACATATTTAGAATTGGCACTTTGTGAATTGACTAATTCCTCAATTGATGTGCTATCTCTCCTGTCCTATGTTGTATGTGGATGTTGTACTCAATGAAAGAAATCTAGTGCCATTTTCTTGGAAAAGGCTAAGTAGTCATAATTGCATCTCTATTTATTTACCCAAATGTCTACATTTTATTCAATCAAAGACACATTTTTTTAAACAGCTTTGCAATCACTATTATCTATCCATTTATAAGAGCTACTAAATTGGCTGCCATTTTCAGGTTTCCCTGGTGATCTCGATGTGTCAGTTACATACAAACTTGTTGGAGACCTACAGATTAGCGTCTCAATGGAAGCAATCCCAAGAAACAAGCCAACTCCAGTTAACCTAGCCCAACACACTTACTGGAACCTTGCAGGCCAAAACAGTGGCCCCATTCTTGGTAACACAGTTCAACTATGGGCCTCTCAATACACCCCAGTTGACAAAACCCTAATTCCAACCGGTGAAATCTTGTCTGTTGGCAACACTCCTTATGATTTTCTCCAACCCTACACAGTTGGTAGCCGGATCAGTGAAGTTGCCAGTGGTTATGACATTAACTACGTTCTTTCTTCTTCTAAAGAAAGCAATGGATTAAGAAAGGCAGCAAAGGTTACAGATCACAAGACAGGAAGGGTCCTTGAGCTATGGACTGATAATGTTGGCCTTCAGTTTTATACAGGCAATATGCTGAATGATGTGACTGGGGGCAAAGGCGGTTGCGTTTATGGTATACATGATGCACTTGCTTTGGAGACACAGGGGTTCCCTGACTCTGTTAACCACCCCAACTTTCCTTCTCAGATTGTGAATCCTGGTCAGGTTTACAGGCACAACATGCTGTATAAGTTCTCATTTGTGTAGGGGTGTTGTTTCAAATGGAACCTTTTCGGGTTCGGATAAATGTCTTGAGAACAACTTAAGACTATTTTAGGGGGTTAGGCATTGCTAGTTTTTCTTGCTCGTTGGTCTCTGGGTTTTTTCCTACCCTTTGAAACTTATTATTATGGCCTACTGGTCTAGAACTCTATATGCCTTTAAGGGCCATGCACAAAAAACCATTTTAACAAAACTGAAGAAATAAGCAGTTGATATTTTTGCAATTTATTGATATTCTGGTCAAGATACATGAGTGTATGCATTCCATGCACCCCCTCACCATTCACCTCTTCATTTAGTTCTCAGGAGCCCTTGGAATCGTTCTATTCCCATTAGTTTATTTATTTATTACCATTAGTTTATTTATTTATTATTATTTTTTAAACTCCTTTTGTTAATTGACTTGATCTGGATCCAAATTGGAGTATCCTGCGATGGATTAGGCAGCCGGATCCAGTATTTAAATGGTTGTTTATTTGCTCTTTTATTTTCAATTACATGGATTGAAAATATTTTGTTTTGATATTTGGATATTTATCACCATCTAAACTAACTATTAGCAAGTTGATAAATGCGCGTCCATTTTTTTGGCAGATCTTCGCTACTGCACACCTCTATGAGAAATCTCCATGAATGGATTTATTGATCTTTCTCTCAATCTTAAAAAGAAATGGATTTATTGATCTTTCTCTCAATCTTAAAAATAATTGTTAACGACTTGCATTGAAGTTTTGGATACGATACTGAATTATTGGTAGATATATCAGACATACTGTACATATCAGCTTATATATCCAATATCTTAATGTTTTTCTGAACCTTGCTCTCTGTAAATAGTAAATTTCTTAAACTTAAGTTCAGTCAAAGTAATGGTTATGGTAAATCTGGATATCTGAAATTTAAGTCATGGGGTGGAGATGGGGTAGATGTGCACTAAGCTCAAGAAGTAATCCCAAGAAAACAAGTCATGTGTTTGTTAGTCACAAAAATATGGCGAAGAAAGAATTAGCTGGTTTGTCTGACAATAATGTTCAATATCATTATTTCTTCAGACTTCAATAACGCTCTTTTCTTAAGAAGGAAGAGTGGCTCTCTATGTTACTCTACATGCATAATTTATCTCTTCTTGCTTCATTCACAACCATGATCTAACTATGATCTTAATCAAATGACCGTGAATACAACCATGATCTTAATCAAATGACTGTGAATGAGCCAGTAGAAACACTGGCTGGGACTAGCTTATAACATTGTTTTCGAATCATTCCTGGCAATTTAACATGGATCGGATGACGACTGTGGATCTAAAAGCACATAGACAGAGAGGAATAAAGGTTTCCATGCATGTAGTGCGTTTTCTTCATAGAAATTTGGCGCTTTTAAAATAAAACCGAGAACTTGTGTCAACCTTTCAACCTTCTAGAAAGCTTGCTCCTATCTAGTGCTTAATAGTAGTGATATAAATTCTAACTATTGGTGGTAGTGTTAACTATGGAAAAAGTTTATATAAGGATACAACCTTACCTGTTGAAATAAACTTCAGTAATCTATACCATCCATTTTATTTGGACGGTTTAGATATGATATTATCTAAAAAAAACATGTAGGCTGATATTGTCTTAAAAAGATGTCAAATGTACACCATCCAACTAAAATAAACGGTTTAGAATGTTGCAACTTTACCTCTCATTTAAGCATGAGTTGTTAAGGTCCCTACAGTTGGTTCAAGGGGCACCTGCTCTTTTGCGTTTTGCCTTTTGCCCTGGCCATATCAATTTAGCCGCCGAAAACTGGTTGAGGACCTGGCCTTATCAAGTTAGCTGCCGAAAACTGGTTGAGGAGCCTGCAACTAACAGATGTGTGATAAACTATTGCTTATGTACATGAAAGAAAGCAACTGACAACAAGTTCAGCAAATTTCAATTTCCTATTCAAGATTCATGTGCCCGTTTTGTTCAAAAAACTCTTGAAACCTTCACATGCATATGCTGGAACTTCGTAAAATTTGATGACTAAAGGTTAGAAGATAATGACAGATGTGTGGTTGCTGGTAATTTTTCATTGTAGTCTATTATGGACGAATGCCCCTTCCCAGTGTTTCGGGACTTGCCCGAGCTCACTCGGATTGGGCTGAGTAACTCAGCCGGCGAGGCTGAATTGGACCTAGTATGTACAGCTCCGATACATAAAAAAATAAAACATTGTAAAAAAATATATATAGGAATGGTTGTATAAGTCTTTTTTATGATTTGGATGTTTTTGGAAATGATAGGTGAATGGTTTTGCAAGCTCTAAAAATAGTGTATATTGTAACAAATTATCTAGACCGTTCATTCGCCCTAAATATGAGTGTTCATAGATCCGCAAGATTTGTACTAATTTTTGAATTTCGAATTTCATTGTCAGTGTTGAAAATTGATTTTAGAACCGTCATGGAGATTTCCGTTGCAGAAATGCTTTCCGAGGATTTGAGGTGAGGCTTTATTTTGTTTTCGTAACGCGTAGGCCTTATTGAAACCTCATCCAAAATATTTATATAACTCATCACCTTTATAATATAAAAATAAGCCACACATCATTAATTCACTAGAAATAGACATTTATAGTGCTAGAAAATCTTCAAATTGATCATCTAGACCTCGAGATGTATGTATATGGAAAAATCAATTTCAAGTCCTAAAAATATTGCATCTTGCAATACATTATATAGACCAATAATTTTCAAGATTTAAAGTGTTTCTAGATATACTTGATCTACACCAATTTTAGAACTTCAAAATTTGTAAGTAAGAGTGAAAATAGATTTTCAAGCCATCAGAAGAATTTTCAACGCTAGAGTTGGATCATTTTACAGGACTTGAAGGTACATTTTACTTTGATTGTTTAATTGTTTAATGGATGTCTTGTGTGAACTCTACCCTTCATAGAAACAACTAACATACATGAGCCTTCAAAGATGGTTTGTTTGACTGTTGGAATATTATGTTCCTAACACTAACAGTGGTCTTTAAATTTGGCTTTTGACCTCATTGGAAACTCAGCAAGATCCCCTTACACTGGTTGACTTTAATAAATTAGTTGCCCCTTCTCAACTCTTGAATGGCTCCTTTCGTCATCTGATTGAGTGTATACCAAATGCACCGATACATGACATGGAAGGCCTTGAAAAGCATCATTCAAAGGAGCTTTTTTGCTGGCATGCATTTCTCATGTCCCAACCTGCTCTTGGATTTGATGTCCTGGTCGAGAAGTTTGTCACTTACTGCAATGGGTTGCCACTCACTCTGGAAACTCTTGGGGCCCAAGTTTTTGGAGAAATCATTCCTTTATGGGAGTGAATACTACAAAAAATGCCCAAAATATACCAGGAGATATTGATAGGCATCTTAGAATCAGTTATGAATCTCTCGATTGGTCAGAAATGCAAATATTTTTGGATATATCATCAGAGTTTGGGATGCATTTGGGTGGTACGGTTGTGTTGGGCTTCAGTCTTTGTAGCAGAAATGCCCCGTAAGATTGGAGAAGAATAAGTTTCTTATCCATGACCAACTGAGAGATATGGCAGCAAAATATTAGATGAGGAGGACTTTGACAATCCTGGACGTCGCAGTCATCTCTGGCAGCCCAATGATGTCATCAAAGTTTTGGATGAAAGAAGTGTGCATTTCTTGCTTTACTTGTGCTGTTCTCCTTTCCAAATTGAAATGGTTCTTGTCTATGTTGAGAACACAATGAGCATACAATTTTGAAACTTGATTGCTTTTCATACATGGCCATTGCATTTCCTCATTTGAAGCATTGTTTTCTCTTTCCCTCTTGGGTAATTAATCCAGAACTCTATCTATATCAACAATATGTCAAGCATCCAATCAAAATCAAACATTTTGGAGAAATATCATGAACACATTCTTGTTGTCTAGTCAGAGTAATCGGTCATAATTAGAAGAAGTTGGAAAAGAATTTATATTTACAATAAAATATAAAAAAATTCTATTTCAATAAGAGAATATATGTTATTAGATCTACATGAAATTTTATGTCCTGTTTTATTTATGATAAATTTATTGTGAGCTTTAATTAAGTGCATTTTATGAATTGCCAAAATAAGAAGAAATTATCGCATACAACTTTAATGTAATTTAAACATCGGTGAACATTAATGTAACAGATCTCAAATGATTAGATTTTCCTGCAGGAGTAAGCTGCATTGTTTTTGGACATGCAGTGTACAGGGAATAACAGTAAAAATTTACACTTATGGTAATAACAGTTACTAATATGCTAATTGCAGCTACTTAGGATTATCTGTTGCAGAGATCTTCTAGATTTTATTCTGGCAAATTTTATCCTATAATCTTGTAGCTAATTCTTCCTGTTCATGGTTGTGGTAATCATATAAATACTATGAATTTCTATTATAGAGAACATGGTTGCTTTTAATCTAGCAAATTAAAGCACTATTATGATATTATCATAGGTGCATAGTCTTCTTGTCATCTTGGTTTCTTCTCCAGGGTTCTGAAACTGTTCAAGGACTTACCCTGATAGTGAATGCAGTTGAAGCAAACATGATTGATTCTTTTATCGTACCAAAGTCTAAAGTAATAGGGCGAAAAGAAGGACCTCCATTATGGTCTCTTAAAATGATGCTCATTTTGGAAGAAAAATTGAAAAAAAAGAAGAAGGCAAGTAAAACTATTCAAATGCATGCCAAAAAGGAGTACAGTGAACTAGGCATAAAGGCACATCATATGAACATGGAAGGGCATCAAGTGAACCATGAAATGAGGGATTTAAGAGGCTTATACCTTCCTGTTTGGAGGAGATTCACAACAAGATAAAATGGGCTTGGTGTGAGGAAGAGGAGACCTTACTTTGGATGACAACAATCATCATGCACCATGGACCCCCATTGAGTTGGTTGAAATTCCAAGAGAGGGGGCTTTCTCTCTCCTTATTTCTGTTGGCAAGACTCCATGGGTGGTCATGTTGGGTTCAAAATGACATAAGGTTAGAGTGAGAGAATTTGGGTTTTGGAGTATATATAATGTTTCCTAAAGAGAGGTGAGATAGCTTTTCATACTCCTAATATTGGCCATTAATTTAAAGGCATTTATGGTTTGAGAAGAGGGTTGATTCTAGCCTCACTATTCACATGACTAGCTATCATAGATGAACCGCTGTGATTTTGCCACCTTATCTCCATAAGTACAATCTGATTTTCAAATTTTTTCCTAAATA